TAAATAAAAATAGGGCTATTTAATAAAAGTTTGAAAACTAAAAATAGAAAAACTGAAGAGCAGTTAAACTAAGAAAAGAAAAGCATAACTGTTAAACTTGCGTTGGCTGAAATAAAAAAAAGACTTTGGACTAATTTTTTTTTCTTTATTTCCTGGTTATTCATTTTATTCGTCGCTGCCTTTTTACACTAAAATTCAAGAAACAAAAATTTTTATTTAGTTTCTACAGTGACAACACTGGATGCAGTAAATGCTAGAACAACGGCATCGCTTCGAACGAATCCGACATTACGCTACAACAAAAACAAGTCGTTCTCTTATTCTTTTTAGTTTTTATAACTGCTCCTTATTTCGCAGCTACTTAGATCATTTTTAATACATGGTTTCTTATTCAACTTTTAGAAAAATTTGTCAATTTTTAAAAAGAATTTGTTGAAGAAAAAAAAACAGTGGCTTACGATTTGATTAGTATAACCTTTCATGTATGATGTTTAGTGCAGAAATAAGACGAAAAATGAACGAAGAAAATTGTTAGAAAAACGTTTTATACGAAAGCCTTGACAAGTTTTTTGACGTTACTTTTGCAGCGGGAACAGTAGTGCTTCCTCGTCAACAGCGTTTTGTGTGGCATTACCAGCTACAATCACAAAGAAAGCGATCAAACGGACCGCAAAAAGGCTGGACGAAACTGGAAAAAAGGCACGAATTCTGGAAAATACAATAAACAGTATAACACAACGAAAACGACATCGCTCTATTTTTCACTCAGTGGAACAGTTAGCTCAATCTGGGTGAATAATTTGGAGAAAGTAACGTGACCGAAAAAGTCATTGTTCCTTTTGTCTTTCTTCTACCTAATCCTTTTTGGTTATTAAACAAGCTTCACTTTAATCGGCAGCATCGCAGTCGGTAACAACAACGGCGGCGCCGTCACCAGCGTCGTCACTTGCTTTGCTATAGTTTACAACTTTCTGGCCAGAATTCCCTTACATACTCCTCCGACTGAACAAGATAAGTTTTTTTCAACTTATCATTCGAAATGGTGGCTTCTTGACTACCGAGTATACAGCTACTTTGTTAAAAGAATACTATGATACGTTTGTTCGCAATTTCTTCATCAGCTTTGCTTCTTTTTAGTTTTCTGCCACTTGTTAATGTATATTATTGTCAGCTGCTTTAATGATGTTGCTACTTCTACTATTATTATGCGCAAATGTACAAATAACAGCTAAAACGGACTTTAGTTTTTTCTGTCATTTGCTAGACTGACGCATGTATATTACATTACCGGTACTTCCACTCTAGCTTTTTTTTGGCTGAGATAAGCCAAATACATTCTTATAATGTTTTTTAAACAACCTACTCATTAAACAAAACCTTTTTTTTTTTTTTTTTGGTTTTTTTTTCAACTGTCATTTCGCTGCTTATATTGTTACAGTAAAATTCAGCTGTTTTTTTCTTTTGCTTTTTTTTTAAAGGGTTTATCGTCAAAAAAGCAATTTTTCAAAATGCATTCCTTATTTCTTTTCCCTTTTATACTTTTTTTCTAGTCTAATGGTATAAATAAGTCTCTTAAGAATAAACTGTTGTAATTTTTGAACTTTTGACTATTATGATTCAGTAATTAATTGTTTCATTATTAAATATTCTTAGCCTACAGAAGTTTTTTTGTTGAAGCAAGAAAAAGAAAATTGATAACACTTTGAACCTACATCTCAAAAGTGTTAGTTTTATTAAAAAGTAGCAACTGTTAGCGGGTTAAAAGTTATCTTTTATTCGAAGTCTCAGAAATCAGGCCAGTTTTTTGTCAATGACGCATGTCTTTGCATAATTGTTTATTTGTGTATATTATCTTCTTTATCTAGAAGAACAACTTGAATTTTGTTGATCTCATGTACCGTTTGTGTTGTATTTGTATCGTTGGTTTTCCTCTTTAATGACTCAGCGTTGTATTCCAATTTTACACAGTTTTGCTATATCATCACAACTGTCGCCTCCATTACATCCCGTTTCTTGTGTTGAAAACAACTTGGTTTCAATACGCCGCTCTGTGGCTTTCCATACCCCTAATTTTTATTTTTTTTTAAAAAGTTTGTTGAATTTTTATTAATGCAAATAAATATCGCTTTTGACAAAAATAGGTTGTTCGTTTGAAATCTATTCTGTAAGCTACAACAAGCAGCATTCAAGGCAAGTGCCTGTAAATATCTGCATTTTGCGTATGAGATCTGATCTTGGAAATTTACTCAAAGTATACCATCTGGATAAGTAAAAAATGAGCAAATAGACTTGACTGGATTTGTTTACTGAAATGAACGACGTCTATAATTTGGGTAATAGGAACAATAATCAATAAAGAATTATGCGATATATCCGCATTTTATTTGGAAATTGTTTACAGCAACGTTCAATAAATTGACAAAAAGAAACTTTACTTACTTTCAAAAAATGTCATTATTTACATTATGCTGACGAACAATCTCTTTTTTAATGCTCTGACTAGAGTTAAAAATAATGTTAGCAGGGTGAAGAAGCTTTATAACCAGTTTGAAACACGCAACACAATGTAATATTTTGAAATGTTAAAATGATTGCCAGTCCACAGCAATTGATTTGCGAAAGTAACTGGCCAAGTTGTTGATTAACAAATGTACAACTTTATTTATTTAAATAAGTTCGTGATAAAATTGTCATAAAATTTAGAAAGCTTCTTAAAGGTTTTAATTTTATCTGTGAATAAACAACGCGTAACTTATATAACACCTATTTTAAATTTTTTTATTTTGCCACTTCAATTTCAGTATTACTATTGGTTTTTTCTAGATGTTTCAGCATTTACTAACTGTATCAAGAAATGCACTGTTTTACAGGATTTTATGAAAAAACTATGTGTATTTTTTTCTGCTTTGAAACTCTGAAGGTGTAAGTAAAGACCTTAGTTCAAACACAGAAACACTCAAGCTTAGATGAAGATTTAGGCAAAAATATACCAATGTATGCATCTGGAAAAATCGATTTATGTGCAATAAATTATGAAAAAAAAATGTGATTTATGTTTTGTAATTACTGATTTGAGGCTCTTATTGCAGACTCAGTACTAGCCCGAAAATGAATATTTGTTTTTTTTTCTTTTTTTATTGTTTTAATTTATTTCGATTTTTGAAAATTAGAAAGTTTCTCGAGCATTTCTTAATCACCTATTTTCACTCATTTACAATTACTGAAGCAACCAGTAAGAGATAGCAACAGGGAGCAAATGTCTGTCTAGATAGTTTATTAACACAGCTGGTGTCCTTACAAAAAGTAAGCGAAGATGTTTATAGGTCGTAGTTTTTTTTCTCTTATTCGCTTTTACAGATTTGTGACTTGCTTTTTAGGCAAAGAAATTTTTTACACCAATTGTAGTGAATAAAAGGCTGTTTCTTTTCCGCATACATATTTTTATAAAGGCTGCCAAGAAACCTTAAGTTTTCCCCTTTCAAAAACACATATGCCCTTTCGTTAACTTATTAGCTTATTGGGAGGGTCAGCTCTACAAAAGTTAGATGCTAGCACAAAAAGTACTTTCTTGAAATCAAAGCATTAGTATTTACTGCGTTATCTACATCTAAAAACCTTTCAGGAGGAGATCTAAACAATATCTAATTTTTTCATTTTTCAAACTTACAATTTGAGTTTTCGTGATTGCAGTCATAGGTTGTCAGCCTTTTGGCTCTTTTGAATTGATACAACTTTGTAATTTTTTCTTTACTTACTTAACACACACGTTCTACGCAAAGTGCTCAACTAACAAGCTTTGAAAAAGTGCAAAAATTTGTTTTAAATTCATGTAGCAAGAATAAACATATTTTTCATCTAAAAGCCAAAAGACCAGAGGCAGATAACACTTTTTGTCTTTGAAATACTGGACGGTTGCATCAGGTAAAAATAGCCGGCTTAAATGCGAAGAAAGGAATTTCCCGTTTACAGTAGAGAAGAAAGTAATACGACTGATAACTTATTTGTTGAAGTGTCACGCTTTAAATTCCTGTCATTTTCATTTTTTCTCAAAAATAGAAGAAAGTGTAAGCAATAGTAAGACTGTTTTTAGTTTGTGTTTCCTCACAAACAAAAATCTTGTTTTCTTTAAAAGTGCTCTACAGAAAGAATTTCTTTACCGCATATTTTTACGTTTCATGCTCCACCTTAAAATTTTGCTTTATAAAGACGAATAAAAATATATAGTTTGGAGTTCGCGATAAGATCTCACAGTCAACTCTACCGTCGACAGGGTTTCAGTCTTTAGTTTCTGTCTTGCAGTCGCAGAAATTTCATAGTTTCTTGTAGTTTTTGGTAAGACATGTATTACAAGTTTAAGGTAGCTGCACTCTTACACACGTAATTTCTCCTCTTCTATGCCTCATTCACTTCTACTCGCTTTCTGGATAATCTACACATTTATTACAACCAATTTTCAAAATTCTAGCTTATGTTTACCTATCTCTGCATTTGTTCACTTTTTAAAAAAGCCATTTTTGGTTGGTATTGTGACAAGAACGTTTGTTTAGGTAAATCTAAACTTTTTAATTAAAAGCTGAGTTGCGACTGTGTAAACTTTTTTAAAATTTTAGAATATAATTAGACTGAATATGGAAAATTTTGCACGCGCGGAAATGCTCGCAAACATGACAAGTAAGAGCATTATAAGAAAGATATTATAAAAAAGATTAAGAAGACACTAAAAATTTTTTTTTGTCCAACCGTCATCACCCGTAAAGCAGCACTTGACAGTGCAGTCATTCCTTGAACAATTTGCATTTCAATCAGGATATTGTTCTTTAAGTTTCTTAATTTTTTAGCTGTTGAGGATACTGTGAAGGAAAGAGAAATAAGTGTGACAAAATGGTTTTCTAATTCACAAGAAAACACAGAGCACTGTCCTTCCACTGCACCACTGTCTCTGCCTGTGATTACAATTGACGAGCGTAAAAACTGCGTTGAGATTCACAAACGTCATGACTCTTTGCAGGGCGCAGGAAAAGTAGCAGCAATTTTACTCATTAACTCACAGGTCGACTACTGATTTTGTGGTTTGACTAGCACTCGTTTTGCTATGATTAATCGGCACTCACGTTTGGCAAATGTGAAAGCTTCAATTTCATTTCGCAACAAATTGGCATACTGACCACTCTCCAAAAAAATCATAATAGCTACTCAAAAACAGACGCCAAGATTTCTATCTCGCATTGCAACATAAAATTCTCATTTCTTGCCCGACCTCGTATATCTCTTTTTACCTCCCTTCGATAAAAAAAAGATGAGCATGAAATTAAAAAATAATTTTTTATATAGGAGGATAAAAAACGTGTTAAGAACGGCATGTTTCAGTCTGTAGCTCTACGGACAGCTTTTATTGTTAACAAACAAACGTCCTACTATAGCTAAAATCATCGTTGTTTGTCACTTATGTGTTAGTAGCCGGAGATGCCGGTACAAAAGAATTGCATATTTGGCATTTTCAAGGAGCTTGCTGCATCGGTTGGAAATCTGCGTATTAAGAGATCATTCTACCAGTAGACAACCGATCCTGAAAACATCTTCCGCTGGAAAGAGTCCTTAGAAGAACGTCACGATCTTGTGCGTTGGCATAGAAAATGTAAAGGCAGTTTTTTGAGCCACCGTCGAGCTTTTCTTGAGGTATTGGAACGAAAAGAGTTATATCTTACTGTAAGGCTGTGATGGGCTTTTCTCGCGTCCACATTTCTATTTCTCAGCGCCTTCATCAGTTATAGAAGAACAGCCCCACGCTTGCAGATATTGTTTCTTCACGCAGGGCTATTAAAAACATGTCAGTGATATCGCTTTTCACTTTATAACTTATTTTATAAGTTCCCTCGTCTACCAGCAGTGTCTTTATTAACCTAAAATAATCGCTTATTATTTTTCGATTATTGAGAAGTGTTAATGACAGTACAACAAGCTCGCACGTTACGTTTTTTATAATCAAACTAATTTTACCGTGGTATTGCTTCTGTCTTCCAATAAGTTCACCAACTACAGCAGATGAGAAGAATTGAATGATGACTTTGGTACCGGAACAAATTTGAACATCGTGCATTTTTTTAGAGAAAGGCGACCGTATTGCGGTGTTGCCAAGAAAACTTATATATCAGTCTCTAATGCGGTTACTTCTCAGTCTTAACTTGCCACCAATTAACCTCATGAACTGAACTTTAGATGATCTAAGTGCGGAATTTAATGCTAAGCTTTGTGAGCTTGTCTTCACTCGTACCGTCGTGTCTCTAGTAAGTCTGCCTCTCACAAAAACACGATAGCACGTTCAGAGATGTTACTCGCTTGCATAATGCAGCCGATTTTACTTTTTTCCTACATTCTTAACCTCTTTACTTTGCTAGCAAACATTTTGACGTAACTTTACACTTTTTGTGCTATAAAGAAGGAATACAGGTAATGGTTGTGGAAAAAACTGATTACTAACGATTTCTGAACAAAATGGGTGCGTTGGCCAGGAATCGAGCCCTAGCCACCCGTATAGCAGCCGAACACTCTACCACTGAACCACCAACACTCGTAACACCTCCTTTCTTCGACAATGGTCAGAAGCGAGTTGACACAAAGGTTTTGTTGTAGAAAGTATGTCATATCAATTGAGTTACCGACGCTCAAAGTACCTTCTATGATCAACGAGCGTAATTGATGCATTATTGTCGGAATTTGTTTCACTGCGAAACATAAAGTTTGGTTTCTTAATTATTTCGCTGTAGCAACCTGTTTCTGCGGCTTAACGCGTAAACGATAAAGGATTCTCGCCGAAAAGGAAGTTCTTCATTCTTCACGCGGTTTTGTAAACCAGAGAACCTCACAAGGCTTTTTTCTTCAGGCAGCATTTCCGCTCAATAACGTTTTCTCTCGTCTGCCTTCTTCAAACTTTTAAAATTTTTTCTTTTTTACAGGGTGATGTAAGACATGTCAGCGTGACTCTATGTCAGGCTGCGAGTGCACTACTGCTCTCTCTTTTTGGAAACGATTATTTTGCAGCAGCTGCAGTGGTAAGTTTTTGTCTAGTGAGGGTCGAAAGTTGACGTTGATGTCGCAAAAAAATTTAGTTTTTTGCATTTCTTGAGAAATTACTTCGTCGGTCAGAGATTTGTTTTGTATTACTTATGAGAAAGGCTACTATTAAACCGTGGAAATTCAGCAAAGTCAATTTGATTGGAGAAATATCTCTCTATGGGAGGTTTAACATGCCCTTTTAGTCGTTGATGCGACTGTGGAGGAAATCGTAAGAGGTTCTCATTTTGCTAAAAACTGTATTTTTATTAGCGAATACTCGTTTTGAATACGAGGAGCTATATAACACCTCGCATATTTTTACTTTAACGGTATCGTACTGTACAGGTTTAGGCTTATAACTGCAATATTCGAAAAATCGCATAATATGGTCAACATGCAGAAGCGAGCAGCGCTGTTCGAAATTCGGAGCGCGGCAAACAGCATCCGGACTTGTGCGGTCAGAGCACATTTGATTTCTAGTCAAACTCCATAACCACTTGGACATCGCTGCCGTTAAAGCTACACCCGGAAAAGTTACCTCGACCTAAGTTGAAGAATAGGCAAAAGAAAAGTTTTCTTTAGTTTTTTTTGACTTATTTCTGCAGTAAAAATCAAAACTGCTGTTCAATAAACCTCGGCTTTTTTCTCTAACAGGATTGCTAATTTATAGGTGAAAAGTCCGGCAAACTCGCTTCAAAACAAGTTTATCACAAGGGACGAATACTATTGCTAGGTACAAATGCGGTAGATGGAAACAAATTAGTGGCTAAATCACTTGCTTTGATAGGAAAACGTGCTGTACACATTCTATAAGACAAGAAAATATATCATTTTTTCACCGACTACTTAAGTTAATTTGTTGATCAGTGTGCCTTTTTTGAGTAATTTTTTGCTTTTTGGCTTTCCTTTCTTAACTCAATAAACGTTCAAAAAAATTTAAAAAGATTTTTTTTTAAACCAGACAAAGAATGAAAAGTATTGTTTGCCATCAGATCATTGTTTCTTGATTACTTCTTTCTCACTATACTCTCAGATAAAATTTTTTTTTCTGAGCAAGAAAAAAAATTATTATTTACTACATAAAATTTTTATTAAGAAACAGTAAACTGTGCAGCAATTACCCTCAGAATAGAATGTCTCAAATGGCTAGCGGAAAAAATTCAGCAGATCCTATTTTTCTATAAACTCACAGATTAGTATAAAAAAACTGATTTGTAAAAAAAAAAAGAAAGAAAAAAAGTTAGAAAAAAATTTTTGAAAACAAAAATAGTACTATGTGCTCTGTTTATTAGTGTGTTATAAGCTTAGATGATTAGTCAAAAATGAAAAAAACATCTGTATTTTAGGTTGCAACGCTATGTTAAGATTAGAGAAAGCAGAATATAACACAAAGGTAAAGTAAAAAATAGTTAATATAAAGTACGGTTGCAGGTATTAAGGTGTACATATGTGAAAGCAAATGGAAGTTTAAAAAATACTATTCTTTCAATACTGGAGAAAGCTACATTACGCTTGCAAAAAGACACGTGAAACATAAGCGTTCTATATTATGAAAACGAACGCTTAATGTAAAAATGTGGTTGACAGCTTAATTTAGAAAAAACTTCTTCATGCACTGCTGTTTTGCAACAAGGTTTTAAATTTTTTATTCAAAAAAAATTCTACGATTAGTTGCTGAAAAACTGTAAGATCAAACTAGTCTCCGACGCAAATCCGACAAGATTTTTGGCACTGCCTAAGCATAATAGTCCTGTAAGCAGGGTCACCACACCGTTCAATACGTCTCACGCAGTTTGGAGTTACATTTTTACACGCTGAAATTAAAAAAGAATTTTTGTTTTTTGTTAAAAGCAAATATAATGTTAATTATCAAATACCACTGTGAAGACAGTATCCACACGTCCTCCTGCAGAACCTCCACATAAGCAATAAATAACTCAAATCTTTACCGAGCTACGTATTTTTTGCGCAGTTCGAAACTTCATCTGTGTACCCTACAATTTAAAAAATCACCGGCACTTTGCGATTATCAAGTCAAAAGTTTCTGAATTACTTCAGGTCAAAAACATTACTTTTGTTTTCTATAGTATTCTCCTTTTCTTTCTCAATTTTAACAAAGCATGTGTTTTTATTAAGACACGCGAAAATTCACAACTAATTTTATCTAGTTTTTTCTTTTTGTGGTCTTAATCTGTTGGTGAGATATGAAATTTTTTCGGTTTTTTAAGTAAATTTAGAAAACAGGAATTATGTATTGCAAGGATAGCAATAACCATATGACCCTCCACAGTACTTCTTCATTAGCGACAAGTAGTGGTAATTAGAGCAAAGCTCAGCCCACTGTGAGCACTGTCTGTCATTGTCAACACATTCTATAAATAAAAAATTGTGAAAAAAATAAGATATAATTTTTGGAACTGCTTGCAAGCACTTTATTTTACTCTCAAGCCGAACCTGCTCAATTAGAAATTGTCATGTCTACAAATTACTTTTTTCAAAAACGGTTTGGCACTCACAAATAATATTTTCAACAAATTTTCAAAGCAGTAATGAATTTGAATATAAATGCACAATACTGGTCTATTTGAAACTTTGATAATACTAATGAAGTCGAAAATGCTTTCTTTTATCAAAAGAGTAGGAATACGCGGTACGGCCCACCATTATGACTGCAGTAACAACACGATTTTCTGCAGCTGTTTCTCATATTTTCTCATATACGTCACGTAGGCTGATTTGTCACAAAGCCTAACAACTTTTCCACAATTCGAATTTTTATCTTTACATTCTACAAGCAATAAAATTTAAAAAACTGTAGCTGGTTGCGAAATTGAGAACGTTTCCCGAAGTTCAGTTTGGCAATGTCACGAAAGAATTTTTTTTTCTACATTTTTTTTCATTTTTCATCACCGTTTTTCATCACCGTTTTCATCACCTAAACTGCAGTTACAAATTTTTGCATTTGCAAAAGCGATAGATTTCTGTTTATTTTGTTTTCTAAGTAATAGATTGAGAATGCGCAAAAGAAATATTTTTTTCAGCTAAGACGCAGGTGTGAAAAATATAAATACCGCCATTGAAGCAACATCCGCATGTTTTGACACACTCCTTCCTCATTCGCCGGCGACAAGTTGGAACGTCACAATATTGGACACGCAGTGCACAATCTAGAGCTGCGTCTTCACAACTTAAAAATGAAGAAGTGAAAGATTCTGCAAGCGAGAAGAATTGACGATCTACGTTACTTATTTTTTAAGAACATTCTTGTTCAAGTTTTGGTCTTGCGCGAAATTTTATTCTTGATTTCTACTGCTATATACTAGAAAAATTCCACATTCTTTGTTGCTTATTGTCGCAGCTCTTTTTTAGCGGTTAAATCTACTAAGAACTCGGAAGGTTAGCCTGTAATTTGAACGAAAAATTACGAGTTTCACCGTCAAGACAGTATCCACAGACTGCTGGACACCACCATCTCCGATTTTCTGCGAGCTTCGGATTGTTACAACGATAAGGTTTAGCACAATATAACTGATTGTCGACGCAAAAAATAGAGTCTATACGTGGTTGCTTTTAAGTGGATGTTTTGCATCAGCTCCGCTTAGAAAGAAGTGAAAAATGTTGTTGCGCGGAGTTTCCCTTCTTCGTTAGATAAATCTAGTAACGTCGTACATTTTGCTCGAGTGATCTAAACGACATCAACTGTCGTTGTAGTTCCCCTTTTTGTGGAAGTTTTGATCCAGTAATAAATCATGAGATTTCTCTTTTTTTCCTTTTTTCTGCAAAAAATATTGAATAATTGAACGTCTATTTAAAGATGTTGTAAAAGTTACAGGTACCTTTGCAGTGTCCTCTCAATTGAAGAGAATAATTAAAGTGGTAATGAAAAAACTTGAAACCTTTTTTTGTTTAAGAAAAAACATAAAAGGTATGAAAAATTCTTACCCAATATTTTCTCAAACTCACAGGTATATCTGCAATATTTCCTTATGAGAAAACCATAAGTGGGATTACCACACAGGCCTCTATAGACATCTCAGTTGCTAAAGAGATTAGCAGTTCCTGTAATTGACTAGCTTATTAGAATCTGTATACTTGAAATCTGTATGCATTGTTTTATTTACAGTTTATAGTCGCTGGCATTTTATCTGTCTGAGAACACACGCCTTCTTGGCTCAATCGTATGCACCGCTTCTAATTTACCACTACGAACTTGTTACAATAAATTTAGAATCTCGTAGAGTCGTTTTACTTTTGAGGCACTAAAACAGTATTTTAGTAAGGCGAATACGAGCGCAGTATCTTTCATCAGAAGGAATAAAAATGTGTGTTTATCCACTATAATTCTCAGTCGAATGAGTGTGGTAGATGATGCTGTTGAGATTTGCATAAGTTTTCTGACTTTGACTGGAATTATGTTAAGAACTTTAAAAAACATACCAAGCAGTGCGTACAGGAAAAAGCGCTAAGAATAATTTTCAGTGTTTTTTGTCACTACTGACATCTTTGGTCTTTTAGAAGTAATTTTAAAGCTAAATAGTTTACCTAAGAACTCCCGAGTTAACGACGGGCTGAATAGGAGAAGGAGAAAAACGATAGACAGGAAGACCAGCAGGGCATCTTTGAGTAATGCGCACTCTCCAGTATCACAGTTCGCGATAAACTTTAAAGCTGATCAAGCATTAAACATTTCTTGCAGTTATATAGCTGAAACCTGTGTGCTCATTTTAATAATTTTTCTTTTCTTTGTCCGTTTCGTTTCTTTGAAGAAGACGGTCTCCTGGTTTGAAAAAGAAAAGTATAACAAGCGTAAAAAAATGCAATTTTTGTGCGGAAGAATCAAGGAATGTTCGAATGCTTTGTCTTTTTCTGTTTTTTTTTTTTTTTT